CATGACAAAATTCACATGACTTTCGTGTGACTTTCACGTGCCTCTGGTTTTGTGTTACATATGTCACGTGCATTATGTCACATGATTTGCACGTGAAATGCCGCGACCACCCAATCCGGTAAGACTTTTTGATGCACTTTGCGACCATTTGGCACGGTTAGTTAGATCATGCACCGCAAAATTGTCTTTTTTTTTTGTAATTTTAAGATCTAATGTTCGACCCATGCATTGGAAATTGAGATTTATTTATGCTAAAACTTATGAAATTTAAAGAAAAATGGAATAATTCCAATTTGACATTAAGTTTATGACCATATCTGCTTGTTTTCTTATATTTGGTCTTGTTTTACTTAAAATTAAAAATGGATTGTAAGACCAATTTTTTGCAGCAACAGGTATTTTATTTCAACAGACTCTTCGGCAGTCCAAACTATAATAAATGGGAATCTTTAAGATTTGTCTCACCTTGGACACTGGTTCCTATGATTGTTTACTGTATATTGAAGCAATTAACTACAAACGGGAAGTAATGATGAATGATAAGTTATTATTTTCTGATAAAATTTGCAATCATTTTATCAAGATTTAAAGTTTTTTTGCAACCTTGTAAATGGTTGTGATTTGATCCTTCTATATGAGATCTACATTTTAATTTTATATTCAGATACTGTGTCTTTCAGCAAGAAGAAACCATAGCCTATCAGGATCTGTCCAATTAAGTATTAATAAGCAATAGACACGTCTGTAAGTTAGTGATCGAATGTGTAAAAAAATAAGTGGAGATTTGAGAAATAGTCGAGAATTAAATAAGAAGAACAGACGAAAACTTTGTCTGGGCTCACGAGATGTCTAGTTTTATAATTATTCACTTTCTATTGGTTCTAACACTATGTCATTATTATTCCTTTTTTAATGTCATTTTAATTATCGTTGTGAATGTTCATTAGTGACATCCTTAAGAGTCGTGACATAAGTGCTATACGATATAAAATAATTATTATACGATATAATTTATTTTGTGTTTTAATTATTTTTTTGGAGGTGAAAAAGAACGAAACAAAAAATAATAAAATTAACGTCAAAAATAAAAATAAAAAAATCTCTTTGATTTTCCGGTTGTTTTTAGTTTATTTCAAGATTTTAGTTTTCATACTTAGAGTACCATTTAGTTGATTACTACTAAACTAAACTAACTAACTTTCAGTAAATAATGTCTTCAGAAATTACAGAAGAGAATGCTCCTTTAGTATCAAATGAAATAGAAGCATCTCCAACTACTCATGATACTCCTACTACTCCAACCGAACAACAACAACAACAAGATACTCCTCGTGGATATTTACCAAAAGATCAAATCGAATGGGAATTTGGTGGTCCAGTAGGTGCTGTTGGAATGATGGTGGGTTTCCCATTATTAATGTGGTATATGTGGATCAGTGCTGAATTCTATAATGGTTATCCTGCTTGGCCAAATGTTGATCAATCATGGTCTGATTTTATCTTTGTTGATTTATGGCAAATCTTTAAACAACATGGATTACCATCATTTGGAGTCTGTTTTTTCTTCACTGCATTTATTTTAGTACAAGCTGGGTTTTATTTAACTTTACCTGGTGTTTGGACTAAAGGTCAACCTTTAACTCATATGAATAATCAACAGTTACCTTATTATTGTAATGCAATTTGGTCATTTTATACTTCAATTGTATTACTGTTGATATTGAATTTTACTGGTATTTTGAAGATTACTTATATTTTAGATCATTTTGGAGCTGTTATGACAACTGCTATATTTTATGGTATTTCATTATCAATCTTATTATATGTCATTTGTCTTAAAGTTACTGGAGATTATAATCGTATGACTGGTAATCATATTTATGATATGTTTATGGGCGCACCATTGAATCCAAGATTAGGGAAATATTTAGATCTTAAAATGTTTTTTGAAGTTAGAATTCCTTGGTTTATTTTATTTTTCATTTCTTTGGCTTTATGCTTTAGACAATATGAAAATTATGGTTATGTTTCTCCACAAGCTTGTTTCTTATTGTATGCTCATTGGTTATATGCTAATGCATGTGCTAAAGGTGAAGAATTAATTGTACCAACTTGGGATATGGCTTATGAGAAATTTGGGTTTATGTTACTTTTCTGGAATATTGCTGGTGTCCCATTCACTTATTGTCATTGTAGTATCTATTTAGCTAATCATAATCCAGAAGAATATCAATGGTCTATTGGTTATAATGTTTTCTTATTCATTTTAATTAGTGCTGCTTATTATTTCTTTGATACTGGAAATCGTCAAAAGAATAGTTTTAGAAGACAAATGGCAGGAAATACAACATTAAGAAAAACTTTCCCATACTTACCTTATTCAGATTTAGTTAATCCCAAATATATTAAATGTGCAAATGGTTCATTATTATTAACTGATGGTTGGTATGTTTATGCTAGAAAAATGCATTATACTGCTGATTATATTCAAACTTTAACTTGGGCATTAATGTGTGGTATGGCATCTCCATTCCCATGGTTCTTTCCAGTCTTTTTCTTTATTGTTTTAGTTCATCGTGCTTATAGAGATCAAAGAAAATGTGCTAGAAAATACGGAAAGGATTGGGATAGATATTTAGAAGCTTGTCCTTATATGTTTATTCCTTACGTTTGGTAGAGTAGTAAGGAACTCCTTAGAATTGTCTTAGAGATGTAGTTGGAGGGGGGAGGAGATAGCTATTTATTTGTACTAAAAGTTACTATAATCTTGTGTTTATAATATAATATATAAAATAATATAAATCAATTAATAATCTAACTAATCTTGTTCAGCAATCGATACTAATCTTTCATCAATTTCATCAGCAGTTAAAATTCTAAATCCTTCATTAGTAGCCACACCAATTTCAATATCATTCTTTCTAAAATCAGTTCCAATAACTGAACTTAATGCAATTATAGCAAATTCAACTGTTTCTTTCCAATCTCCTTTAATATGATCAATCTTCTTAAATTTCTTTTCCAAATAAGTAGTTGCTTCTTGTTGTTTAGGTCCAGTAGATACAGCCTTCACACCAGTATAATAACCCGCTGGATCACATTTAAAAATCTGAGGACCTTTCCCTTCATCCACATCAACTTGACAAAATGTTAATGCAACCCCCAAAGGTCTCATATATGCTCTTTGAGTATACAATTGAGATAAATTGGCCATTCTTTTAGCCAAACTCTCCACCGGCATTTCATAACCATACTTATATCTAAACTCAGTAGCTTCTGCTCTTGCTCTAAGTGCTTGGGATCTAGCATCGGCAATTGAACCAGTGGCTACACATCCAATACTTGGAGTGATTTGAAATATATATGATACGGTTTTTGGGTCAAGTAATTTATCAGGAATCTTTTTTTGAGAAATTAATACGGCGGAATCTTTACCACTGATACCCATTGATGTAATATTTGCAGAATTAATTGCTTTGAAGGCATATTCTACTTGATATAATCTCCCTTCTGGTGAGAAGATTGTGATGTGTCTATCGAATCCTGCTGAACTGGACATATTGTGTATAATTCTATTTTCTTATGGAATGGAAACAAAAACAATTGTATATTGACTGAATAATGAAATGAATTGACTTTTAGTTGTTTACAATTAAAAAGACAGATGATAAGGCTATGGCAAGGTTATTGAATTTATTCAGTGGCAATAGAAATTCCAAAAGATTTTTTTTCACTACTCATAGAACGACATATTCAAAATGTCGTACTACTGAGATGTCGCTTGTTTTTCTCTTCTTTTTAAATTTTGTTTCTTTAAAAAATTCTTTTCTAATCTATAAAATGAAGTTAAGGGTTTCCTATTAGATACATTGAATATAGAAACTAATCAGTTATGACGATACCAATAAGTGAGACGGAGACGTTCTCTACTGATAGAAGAACTCAAGAAAGCACTCCATTATATTTCAATAATAATAACACAAGTGGCTTGACCACTAATGTATCATATCATTATAATGCAGAAGTTAGTCAGTATCATTATGGATCTCTACATCCTATGAAACCATTTAGATTAATGTTAACCGACCATTTAGTAATATCCTACAAACTATTTGAAAAAATGGATCTATATACACCCCGTCGAGCTACTCGATCAGAAATGACCCAATTTCATTCTGAAGATTATATCGATTTCTTACAAACCATTACTCCTGAAAAGACGGCAAAATTGGCAGAACAGACATTAGCTCAATTCAATATTGGAGATGACTGTCCTGTGTTTGATGGAATGTATGATTATTCTGCAATATATACTGGTGCTTCCCTTGATGCCCTGCGAAAATTAATTTCAGGAATGTCTGATATTGCCATTAATTGGCTGGGTGGATTACATCATGCTAAAAAGTTTGAACCTAGTGGGTTTTGTTATGTTAATGATATTGTATTGAGTATTATGAATTTATTAAGAATTCATCCTAGAGTAATGTATATTGATATTGATTTACATCATGGTGATGGAGTTCAAGAAGCTTTTTACACCACTGATAGAGTAATGACTGTTTCATTTCATAAATATAATGGAGAATTTTTCCCCGGGACTGGATCAGTTGATGAAATTGGATTAGCTAAGGGGAGAAATTATGCTGTGAACGTACCGTTAAGAGATGGAATTGATGATGAATCTTATATACGACTATTTAAACTGATCATGGAACCTTTAATAACTAAATTCCAACCTACTTGTATTGTCCAACAATGTGGAGCTGATTCCTTAGGATATGATAGATTAGGATGTTTTAATTTAAATATTAGAGCTCATGGTGAATGCGTTAAATTTATAAAAACATTTGGAATCCCCATGTTGGTTGTTGGAGGTGGTGGATATACTCCAAGAAATGTTTCAAGATTATGGTGTTATGAAACGTCCGTATTGAATGATGTTACTCTTGATCCTAAAATCCCCAATTTCTTACCAACTTATGATTGGTTTGGACCTGATTATTCATTACATCCTCAATTAGAAGGTAGAATTGATAATAAGAATTCTAAGAAATATTTAGAAAGTGTAAGGCATGAAATTTTGGAACAAGTACGATATCTTAATCATGCTCCTTCGGTACAAATGTATGAAATTCCGCCTGATTTAACTGGTTTAACTGATGAGGAAGAAGATGCAATTAAGGAATTGAATGAAGAAAATGAGAGAGAAAAGAAAATAATGAAAGATGAATCAAAAACTGGGGAGTTTATGACATAATAATGGATGCCTTTATTAGAATAGATAGATTTTTGTATAAATATATTGTATTATTATTACCCTTGCAATTAATAAGAAGATGTGGTTGCCATTTGGGATACCCTGTGTAGATCTTGAGTTTCATTTAAACACGCAAAGAAATTTAATTTGTAGATTAATTAAAGAAGAGTAACGTATAGTCAAAGCCAGAAACATCCAAACATGCATACATGCTTGTGCTTAACTATGTAAACAGCCTATGTTTAGACCAACTGTCTGATTTGGCTGCCAAAAATTGATTTGGTTAAATAAGAATCCTCAGCCTCAAGAAAAACCAAAGTTTTGCAACCAAATCAGTTTCATTCAAATCGGATTAATCAATCAATTGTTGTTGTCGTTATAAGTGATTATTTAAGTTAATAAGAGAATTTATGAAATGAATTTATATGTTTATATTAGTTTATATACAATATGGTTCTTATTTGATTGGTAATAGATTGGAATAATAATATATTAGTTTTTCGAGCTTTGAAATGCCTTGAAATGACTGTTTAATATGATTTGGTAATGTTGCCTCTTACTTGGGGGTTATTTTTAATTAGATTGCTTAATGGTTCAGATGCATTTGAAATGTTAGGTTAGTGAATTTGATTGGTCTGATTTCAGTAGCGGTAGTTGTTTGGTTGATCAATTCTTCATCTCTTGAAGTTTGTCAAATGGTAAGTGAAAGCCTCCAATGCTCGGTCAGATATAGATATCTAAAGAATTTCATATCTGATTCTTTCAATATTACATCTGAAGATCACTGTCATTGGTATTCCACTTGTAAAACATCTTTATGCAATTCTAATAGTTGAAGTGATAATATGTGAATGTCGCATCTTCTCCAGCCGATTCTTTGTTGATTCTGATAATTTCAGTTACTTCATTGGCTGAACGTGTATTAAGATTGTCAACTGCTGGTTTGATTTGATTTTTCAAAAAGGCATTCATCATGTTATTAATTTCTTGAGTATGCCGAGCCAATCTTGCATCTAACTTCTCTTCCATTTTTTGAATGATTTCCTCACTGAGTTTATTTGAGATCCTCTGAGCAATTGCATCTTCATCAATTGACTCAGTTTGATCTTGCTTGGTGGCTTCCTTAGCGAATAATCCCATTATAATTCACGTGACAAATTTGGGGGTGGGGACGGGGTTTGAATGAAATATAAACGGTATTCCCTCGAGATTTAGATTTTAGTAAGTATTAGCGATATCTATTGTAATAGCTAATTAATACTGTTGGTGATGCAGTATGATTTAATAGACAGCAGAATGTCAGATAGTTTTAATTATTCTATATGGTTCTGTTGTTTTAACTCTTGAAATTTTTGATTTGAAAGTCTTATATCGATTTATTCTGTTGGAATGTCGATATCTAGAAGCCTTGGGTTCTATAAATAATGTTGTAAGTAAGTTATTGACTCTTTTGGTCCTGAAACAATCTTTATTATTTTACTTGAAAGTAACTAATCAGATCACAAACAATGAGAAATATAAATTTAGAATAAATATAATTTAATGACGAAGAATATACACATCTAGTTATATATCAAAGCTTAAAATATAATTTATCAATTTTGGTCTTGAAATAAGGTTTGCTGCAGGTTAGCGGCAATTGCTCCCCGGCCCCCCGCTAGTTAATTTTAGGTTCCAATCACTGTGACCCCGGGTCACGCGTAGGTTTTAGGGGTGGGCAGGTCACGGCTAGGTATTTAGGGGTGGACAGAGCCAACGTCATCCCACGGTATCAGTCGACAAAGGTCACACGGGCCCCAGGCACACCACTGGAAGGAGCACACAAGTGATAGAAGGATTTTAACAGGTATAGTTAGTTCGGTATATAGGATTGCATATACATGGTAATAAATGGTATCATCTATTACATCTATCCCCTTTGATTCCTGCATCAAAAATGAAACACGTTATGATACATTCCATTTTCTTGTTAAACACCAAAAGCTCCTTGGCCTAACCATTTTGGTAAAAAAAAAATTGTTCACGTGATATGGACACCCAAGAAAAGAGACGCGTAGTTAAATGTCAACACCATCTAAAAATTACACCAAAGTAGATTTATTCGTCCACCCCCCATTTTACTACCCTTCACGAATATCTAGTACACAGCATATAAAGCACTTATGAATCATCATAACAAACGACAAATATAGAAAGTAGACAAATTGAACAATGGGATTAGATACAGATAAATTGATAATAAGTCTAGATCCAAAAACTAATCGAAAAATTATTAATGGGAAATATAGAATTATTAAAAAGATTGGACAAGGTCAATATGGGAAAGTATTACTTGGAGAATGTGTAGATAAACAAATATGTCCTCCTGTTCAATATGTTGCTATCAAGACGATTAATAGAATAGAAAAGGCAAGATTAATTACGAAAACTTATCAAAGTCTGATTATTAAGATAAAACGAGAAATTCAAATAATGAAAGAATGTAATCATCCAAATGTGGTTAAATTATATCAAGTAATTGATGATACTAAATTTGATAAAATCTTATTGATTCTTGAATATTGTAAATTTGGTGAAATTGATTGGAAACATTATAATCATTATTATGAAAAATATACCAAACATGAATATAGAAAACCGCTTACCCTTAATAAGATCCTTAGAGATGTAATCAATGGGTTAGAATATCTTCATGATTATAAGAAAATCATTCATCGAGATTTAAAACCTTCAAATTTATTAATTGATGAAACTAATACAATTAAAATATCCGATTTTGGTGTAAGTTTAATTCTTGAAAATGAAACTCAAGATTTAAAAGAATTAGCAAAAACAATGGGTACTCCTGCTTTCTATGCTCCTGAATTATGTCAATTTGTAAATAATCGATATTCAATGATAACTAATGCTAACCATGCTGCTAATAAAGTGAAGATCGATTTTAAGATTGATATTTGGTCACTTGGGGTTACAATGTATAGTCTTATGTTTAATGATTTACCTTTCAATGGAGGTAATGAGTTTGAAATGTGTAAGAATATTGTGCAAGAACAATTGAAATTTCCCAAGATTAAACATTCCAAAAAAGTTACTACAGGAGATATTGAAGAATTGGGATTATTTAAAGATTTAATTAAGAAGATGTTAATTAAAGATCCTAAAGATAGAATTGATTTACAATCAATTAAACTTCATCAATTTACCACATTTGATTATAATGAAGCTGAAACTAGAAAGTTCTTAAATTTTAATCTGCAAATATTTAAAGATGCAAATACCAAGAAGGAACTTAATTCAACGAATAATGACCCTAGCTTCAAAAGTAGACTTAAGAAATTATTTATGGGAAAGACTACTTCATTACCATCAATTCCAATTATAAAAGAGAAAACCTCTCCTATATCCGGTGGGGTAAGGAATACAGCATCTGATCAAGCATTAGATCATATCAGATTGAAGGAACTAGAACATGTTGATGATTTGCTTGATTCATATTTGGATGATTCTTCATCATTAGGAAGTGATTTAGAAGATGAAGATGAACATGTCGAAGTTTTCGATACTACTAATATATTGGGTGAACTTAAAGATATTATACTGAATAAGAAAGTTAAATCAAGACCAGAACCACTAGAATTAAAAAGTTCAACATTTATCTTTGATAATGAAAATAATAACAAGAAGAACATTAGTAGAAGTAGTAGCGAGGTTTCTTCTCCTCAAACACCTACCACTGATAATGTAACCACTATAGGTGCAGCAAGTACTCCAACGTCACTGGTTCCAAACATACAAGTATTCAGTCCAGCAAAGAGATATTTCTCCAAGAATAAAGAAACCGAAACGACCACCAAGAACCATACCAAGAAGAAACCAACTATTGTATCGCTATCTTCACCCCAGAATCCAAAAAAGAATAACGACAACAACGTTAAAAACAAATATATCGCATTAGCGGAACCACCACCGATATTCGCATTGACTAGCAAGCAACCACTACCACCACAACAACAACAACCAGTTCCACTTTCTCCTTCCCATAGTAGAAAATCAAGTAATGAAAGCCGAGATGAACAACTACTCGGATCACCCATATCATCAAGAAAGAATTCCATATCATCTCAAGTATTTGGATATGGATTGTCTAGGATTACGAGTTCTTCATCATCTTTGAATTTAAATGCGTATCTTACTGATGATGAAGGCGGTAGTAGTAGTGGTTTGATGAAACATCATAGTACTTTGAGTACGAAGTATAGTTTGAGGTCATATCGAAATAGTAATAATTCGAAAGAATCTGAAGAATCTGAAGAAGATGATGAATATGATACTGATGAGGATAATAATGATGAGACGTTGGTGTTTGCTGATGATTCACATGGTAGCGGTGGTAATGGTGGGAATAATTATAGAGATATGAGGGATTTTTTGAATAGATTAGAATAGAGTATTATATATATATAAAGGTATAAGGTAATTTATTAGGGTAACAACCAATATGGAGTTTACTGTAGCTAGAGAATGATATCCTAATTTCTTTAACCTTGGGTTTATGGTTATGTATCTAAATCATTTGTGATTGGATAGATGGACTATGTTGGCCCTTCGCAAGTTAATAATTTGATTGATTTTAAGTCAATTCTTCTCTAAAAGTTAGATTTCGTTCTTCATGGTTGACATACTCCTATCTATTCACTAACAGGTTGTAGATAGTTTGAATTAAAATAGTTGGATTCATTACGGAATTTTTGAAGTGTGATTCTATTTTTGTTTTTCTTGATATGTGGGGCAGATCATCTCGGTTGAGGGATGATTCCGGGGATATATGCAGCCAGTATTTTAAGTTTTGATTTTATCAGCTTGGTTGATTCTTATCAATTCATTTGGTGCTTGAATCTTGAACTAATGCCTTGATAATTAATAATAAAGCCATTCATCATTTGTTTTAGAATCTCTCTGAATTTTAATGACAGAAGCGTTGCAGCAATTATAATGTATAATGTAAGGTACTATATTTATAATATTTTTTTTGCATCCTGTTAAGAGCCGTTGGTAGTAAAATTATTATGATTTTTATTCGCCCCGCCACCATACACTTTATTTTTCAGAGTCATTTGGGATGAGCAAGGAACAAGAAGATCAATTCTTTAAAAGATAGTTCAACCAATTGAGAGTACAAAGAATAGGGTTCTACAATTAATTAATTAATTAAATTAACTGTGGCGTCGTGTATAATTAGAGAGTATAATCAAGAAAACTTAACTTGAAAAGAAATGACTACCGAGTCATGGGGTCAACTGTTAAAAACATAACCTTGCTTAATATACATATAACCGATTCTAAAGCCGGGGTTAATCTTCTTCCTTGGGGGTTCCCTTGGGGGATAATAATATAAAGTAGTAATTGTTATGGAAATATTAACTCCACATTACGTATTTCCTTAATTTAATTTGTAAGTGATCCTCGGTAGTTCCTAATTGGGAATGAGAGATCGTTGAAACCCGATTTATATGCAGTATCTTGCATTGCCTCGGTTATTAATGGGAAAACTTAATTTTTTAATTTTTCGGGTTATTCTTCAAATCACAGGCATAAAAGTTAAGTCCCCCGCATAATTTGTTTTTCATCAATATTCATTATAAATATCCCCTGAAAGTTTCCTTTTATTTCCTCTAGTTTTCTTTCTCATTTGAAAATTTTTAAATAATAAGTAGTTCTCTTTTCTTTTCAATTGTCCCAGTCAACTTAAGAAAGAACTTTTATATATACTAAGAAAATATGTCCCAATTACAATACAAAGACAAAGTTGTCATTGTCACCGGTGCTGGTGGTGGTTTAGGTAGACACTATGCCATTGAATTCGCCAAGAGAGGTGCTAAAGTTGTTGTCAATGATTTAGGTGGATCTCTTGATGGTCAAGGTGTCAATGCCAGAGCTGCAGATGTCGTTGTTGAAGAAATTAAGAAACAAGGTGGTGTTGCCGTTTCTGATTACAATAATGTCCTTGATGGAGAAAAAGTTGTTGAAACTGCTGTTAAGAACTTTGGTACTGTTCATATCATTATTAATAATGCTGGTATCTTGAGAGATGCTTCTTTTAAGAAGATGACTGAAGCAAACTTTAAATTAGTTGTTGATGTTCATTTAAATGGTGCTCAAAGATTAGTTAAAGCTGCTTGGCCATTCTTCCAAAAACAAAACTTTGGTAGAATTGTTAATACTTCTTCTCCAGCTGGTTTATATGGTAACTTTGGTCAAGCTAACTATGCTGCTGCCAAGTGTGCTTTAGTTGGTTTCTCAGAAGTTTTAGCTAAAGAAGGTGCACGTTATAACATTCGTTGTAATGTCATTGCTCCAGTTGCTAGATCAAGAATGACTGAATCTATCTTACCACCTCCAGTTTTAGAAAAATTGGGTCCTGAAAAAGTTGCTCCATTAGTTTTATACTTATCTCATGATTCTTCAGAAGTTTCTGGTAAAATTTTTGAAGTTGCTGCTGGTTTCTATGCTCAAATTAGATGGGAAAGATCTGGTGGTATTTTATGTAAACCAGATTCAACTTTTACTGCTGAAGTTGTTGCTAAACGTTTTGAAGAAATTGTTGATTTCAATGATGCTGGTAAACCATCTTATTTAAAGACTCAACATCCAGATAAGTTGAATGATTATGCTACTTTAATTAATGCTGCTCAAAAATTACCTGCAAATGATGCCACTGGTGCTCCTTCTGTTTCCCTTAAAGGCAAGGTTGTCTTAATTACTGGTGCTGGTGCCGGTTTAGGTAGAGAATATGCCAAGTGGTTTGCTCGCTATGGTGCCAAGGTTGTCGTTAACGATTTCAAGGATGCCTCTAAGACTGTTGAAGAAATTAAGGCTGCTGGTGGTGAAGCTCATGTTGATCATCATGATGTTGCTACTCAAGCTAAAGAAATCATTGACAATGTTGTTGCCAAATATGGTACTCTTGATATTCTTGTTAACAATGCTGGTATTTTAAGAGATCGTTCATTCCCAAAGATGACTCCACAAGAATGGGATTCTGTTCAACAAGTTCATTTAATGGGTACTGCCAACTTATGTCGTTTAGCATGGCCAATCTTTAATGATAAGAAGTATGGTAGAATTATTAACATTTCTTCTACTTCTGGTATTTATGGTAACTTTGGTCAAGCCAATTATGCTGCTGCTAAGTGTGCTATTGTCGGTTTCACTAGAACTTTAGCTATTGAAGGTGCTAAGAACAATATTAAATGTAATATTGTTGCTCCACATGCTGAAACTGCCATGACTTTAACCATTTTCCGTGATGAAGATAAGAACTTGTACCATGCTGATCAAGTTGCTCCATTATTAGTTTTCTTGGGTTCTGAAAATGTTCCAGTTACTGGTGAAATCTTTGAAGTTGGTGGTGGTTGGATTGGTAACACCCGTTGGCAAAGAGCTAAGGGTGCAGTCTGTAAAGCTGCTGTCACTACTCCTGAATTTGTTAGAGACAACTTGGCTGCTATCACTGATTTCTCATCTGGTGTTGAACATCCACGTACTGCTGCCGAATCTTCTATGGCTATCTTGGCTGCTGTTGGTGATGATGACAATGATGACGAAGAAGAAGAAGAGGAAGTAGAAGATGAAGAAGATCCAGTTTGGAGATTCAATGATCGTGATGTTATCTTGTATAACATTTCTCTTGGTGCCACTACTAAACAATTACAATATGTTTATGAAAATCATGAAGATTTCCAAGTTATTCCAACTTTTGGTCATTTGATTACTTTCAACTCTGGTCAATCTCAAAATTCTTTTGCCAGATTATTAAAGAACTTCAAGCCAATGATGTTGTTACATGGTGAACACTATATCAAGGTCCACAAATGGCCACCTCCAACTGAAGGTGCCCTCAAGACTACCTTCCAACCACTTTCTGTTACTCAAAAGGGTACCAACACCATTGTTGTCCATGGATCCCAATCTGTTGATATCAATACCAAGGAAGTTATTTATTCCAATGAAGCCACTTATTTCATTAGACAATGTCAAGGTGAAACTAAAGTCTATGGTGATAGAAGATCATTTGCCACTAATCAATTTGTTGCTCCAAACCGTGCTCCAGATTATCAAGTTGAAGTTCAAATCAATGAACATTTGGCTGCTCTTTATAGATTAAATGGTGATAGAAACCCATTACATTTAGATCCAGAATTTGCTAAGGGTGCTAATTTCCCTAAACCAATTTTACATGGTATGTGTACTTATGGTCTTTCTGCTAAGGTTTTAATTGATCAATTTGGTATGTTTGATGAAATTAAGGGTAGATTTACTGGTATTGTTTATCCTGGTGAAACTTTGAGAGTTTTGGCTTGGAGAGAAGGTGATATTGTTAAATTCCAAACTCATGTTGTTGAAAGAGGTACTATTGCTATTAACAATGCTGCTATTAAGTTGATTGGTAACAAATCTAAGATTTAGAGAGAACCTGTACGATGATGTTATTATTTATATAAGTTTATGTTTATATTTTTGTTATTTATTTGTTCTGAAATAAATGAGTAAAGTTTACTGAATGATCTGATTGTAGTTAAATTGTCTCTTTAATTATCCAAGTGATTATTTGGCTTGTAAGGTCTATAGGTTTGTAAAGCTAATCCATCAGGTCTATAGTTAGTTGGTCCATGAGCTACCAAACGAAATAAAAACGGGCTACCAAATGTTTTCTGATTTAAAACGCGCTACCAAATGTACTCTTGAGAAGAACTATGTGCTTTGTAGAAATGAGATAGTTACAGTAGGTTCATTCAAATAAGCCCAATCAGCTCATGCATGAATAAAAAAAAACCAGAGGTAGTTGCTGGTTACTCAACTGACTTGAATAGAATCTACATGTTGTACTACAAGAATAATTAAAAATGTAATCTTATATGCCTTGCTATATAATTTTATAAATAGAATGTCTCTGTAATAAATGTCTATGTCTAATGTCTTTAGTGTCTTTCATCTGTATCTATACAATGGTCCTCTTCCTCAATCTCATAATCCTCTAATGAACCCATATTTTGCAGCCCCAAAGCAACATTCGACAACAATGATGAAGTTCTTTGGTGCATCTTCAATGAAAACTCAACCGGTGCTTCATTTATCGAATCGATAGAACTATCTATCTTTTGAAAAGATAATGGAGAACTTATTATTGGAGAAGACATCTCACTTGCAACGGTGTGAGCTCTTGACCGAGTCTTATTTGGGAATTTAAATGATGTAATCGTGGGATTTGTTCCTCGTGCCGACTTCTTTCGAAGAAACATATTGGGTGTGGATGTGGATGCTGGGCCCCATTTTCGGGATTCAAATTCTGAGCTGGTGGTTTCATTCAGTGATGAATATGGATCGGCCAATGAATCCGAAGATGAAATGCTCCCTCCATCTGAGTAGAGTGATGTGGATGTGGATGAAATAGATGATGAGGTGGAAAAGAATGAAGATGTTGATGAACTTGGAAATGTCACTGAATACGACTTTTGATGATGATGGTGATATTTCCTGAACGAAGTAGTTGGTGGTTGTGGGAATTCATAATCGTTAACAAGAGGTGATGCTGCCGGAGATCCACGTCTATTGGTATCAAAAGGTGAAAACTTTTGCTTGATTGATCGTTGTCGTTTAATTATCTTATCATGAGTAAATGATTGTGATTTTGTATGACCAAATGTAAAACTTCTATCCAAATTATTGTCCGTATTACAATCTTGAAAAGATTTTGCTCTAGTTAATTTACTATCTTTTCTAACTCTATTTAATTGATCTTCACATATCTTTTCATGACGTATATCCTTCATTTCAACGTATCCTTGAGGTTCACAGAATTGACGATATTTATCAAAAAATCGTTTATAACCTCCATCAAGAACAACAATATCAGGGAAATTTAAATAAGGATACAGATCAAGATTCATTTCGCGATCGCGTTTTCGTAAATGCCTTGCCATTATAGGTCCTCTGAATACACTGAATTCACAATGAAATATGAGTAATCGCTTCTTAGTGGGTGTTGTTGATGCTTCAACAATATCCATAAATCTTTGTTCCAAATCTTCTTTTGTTGAGATATTAATGGCATTGATGATATGACCTCCAGCAAATTCATAATTGAATCGACAATCTATAATAATGGTTTCGTCAAATTCATTTTCCAATTCACCAGATAAGATCTTATATAATTCATCTTCATTCAATCTTGGTAATGAATCTTCAATATGAGTAAATGTGTTAATCTTTGTATATTTGAGATGCGAATTATCAACGAAATGATTAGATTCTTTCGTGACGGTTAACATGCAAGTTGACAGAGTCTTTTTATGTAGATGTTTTCGTGGTATAGGAGATCCTACGTTAATAGTTTCAAAAGTATCGTCGTGACTGTCCTCTTCGAAATCTTCAACTTCGTCTTCATCTTCTTCTTCATATTCGTCGTAATCGGTTTCAATTTCTGATTCAGTATCTAATTTATCCTTTCTATGTCCACTACCCAATGTGAGACTTGAAAAGAACTGTTGTGATGATATGGATACAGCATTGACTGATTTGGAAAGTATATTAGTTGAACTTGAGAACGCTTTTGCTGAGGGTAACATTAAATTTGAGATATTTCTAAATGGACGTCGGTTAAAAAGTGGGGATTGATCATTATTATTATATCTTTGAGTATCTATCGTGGGTGATAATTCTGGATCTTCTTCTCGATTTTCTAAACCCTTTGAGATTGGCGGATAGTGAAGATCTAGGGTTTGGACTTCCTCTTCCGCCCTCTCTCTATAAGTAGATTTTTCACTAAGAACCATACTTTAATAAAGCCGCATAAATCAAGATCGTTTTGTCTATTGTTGAAATGATTGGGACTGTTTGCTTTTCATAGATTGACCAAGCCAGTTGATGAATTATTGGAATATCCTAATAGTAGTTCCAAAGTAATTAAAAAGAAGGGGAATTTGGATATTCGACTAATTGAAATAAAAGATTCAAGCAGATTAATAAACTGTAATTCTTATTGGAATCAAAGAAATTTAGTCCAAAGTGTAAACTCGGATTTATGATTATTTTTTGATTTTATTGTTTAGGGCTTAGGTTTTTTTTTTATTTGGTACTGGGGGTAGTAATAGGCCGTGCGTTATATGGTACAAGTTAATTACACTAACTAAATTAAACGATAGTGGAAGGTATTATATATAGCTATATCAATAGTAAGGATAAAGGAGTAAATAAGTAGGTAAGTAATTAAGTAAATTCTTAGTAGGAAATATGTAAACGGGATATATGACCGCATATAAATACAATGCAAAAAGAACCCATTTTTTGCGTGAAACACAATAGAAGGAAGTCTATTTCTAAACACTAAACTGAAATTAGTTTGCAATTCTATGAAAGAATAATTTCAGGTTGCACCCATTCTATTTTCTTTCTTTCTCTTTTAGTTTCTGTTTTAGACGAATGACATATTTACATCTTGCAATAAATGTAACAATGAAGTTCTCTTCTTTTACTATAGCAGGGGTAGTAGTGTATATCCATTATTGAACCGAGACAACGAATGTTTAAAACTGTTGCTGTTGGTTAGTAACCCGCAATTCTTTTTTCAAGTTTGATAAATAATAATATTTTATTCATAATAAATTCCAGATCTGTCAAAATGTAAACATTGCCAAAAATTCGTATGCATCACATTTTGTTAAGATTCCTTTTTACTTCATTCTGTTAGTGCTTGGCAATAACAATAGAGATATATAGTTACGTGACGCTTACCTACTTGCCTGCAGAGTTCCATATTGTATCGTGCTTCCTATACTTGTAAGTTTCTTCCTTGAGCAACTTCACTGTAATATTGTGTGTCAAACACGCGCGATAAGCCCGGGGACAAAAAGGAAACAAAGAGCGACAACGAGGGAGCTATTACACGTCGCTTTTTGAAGTTCAATACATAGGTTGTCACCGTGACATAGTTATCATTCTTCTCTTTGTCATTTCTAAGTTAGGAAGGCATTGATACAAATTTACATATTTGATTTTACAAGGTTTCACCTGATTACAGGATAGACTATTTTTTTTCTAAGGTTTGTTTACTCTTTTGCTATTTCTAGATATCTACAACTGGGTAAGGTCATGCCTTTCTTCATCATCTTTCTTCATGAAACCACATGTATACACTAGGATGCTAATAGTCTTAATTCTTAGTGGCATGATTATCACTTTATTGATGGGGGTGGCACAACAAATGAAACACTCTATTCGGATCTACCAAGAAAAACTACCAATAATATGCCACAATTCTCTGGAGATGATTTTCTTGAGAGGTTGCATCGGCAACATTTTCCAATACGATCGCATCGCGTTCAATGGCTTGGCAGCACAATTCCTGAGATTTGTAAATGGCGCTACATATCCAGAGGAAACGATTCTCTGACGAATTGCATTGAGATCACGTAGGGGGGCTCCATAGATCCGTCGTGTATTTTGGTGCCCATCTAAATTCGATGAATTAGACTAGCAGTTTCACTTTTCTATGAAGATCTGCTTATTGAACAACTGACGATGCAAATCGTGCATATTCTTACAGGAAGAACAAATTGGAAAGGCAGCTACTAATTATACTTTTAATTCTTACATACCTAACAAACTGTTGTTTACGAAAATTAGAAAGCAATTCCCATTAAAATCTTACTCGTTTATTGGATTGAACTCTAGAGTCAGGTACAATTAATCTCTTTCTTGGCCTCTCCTCGGTATTTACAATTTGTTGAATGAACTCCTGTGAGGTTGCTGCATCTCTGACTCTTATTCCTTGTATCTGGTTAAGCTTCTTCAAACTCTCTTCGCTGAAAAGGAAAACATCCCACGATCTGTTCCCGTGGTCGTCAACGTGACTTGAATGTCTTAACAATGAGTATTCGTCAACTGAGTCTTTAATTATACTTTCTTTCACAAGAGATGGTGCCTTAAAAGACGAATATTGTGCCATGTTGTCATCCATATCTAAAAACTCGTGTCGCATAACGTATTCTTGAATTCCAGTATTATCAATTGCAAATCTTTCCTTGTTATCATCTTCTTGGTCTAACCCCCTTTTCTTATATATTTCCTCCTCTAAAGTCCCTTCAAGAATCAAAGTTTCGACGTAAACTTCTCTGGTTTGTCCAATCCTATGAGCTCTTTTGATGGCCTGGGCTTCAATGGATTGATGCCAAATTGGACTGATGAAATAAACATGAGTGGCAGAAATTATAGTAAGACCATGTGCAGCAAGCCGAATATCCATTATCAAAGTGATCCCACCAAGGGATTCATTATCATGATTTGAGAATTCAACTAAGTTCTTAGCTCGGATTGTGGGGGAAATAAAAGTTGCGTATAAAATATAGTTGATTCCAAGAATATCAAGAAGCTCGGTAAGATAATAGGCGGTATCTTCAAACTCAAAGAATACCAATGATTTTACACTCATTCTTTGATGTTCAAGTAATCTACTAGCAAGATACGAAAGTTTAGATGATGCTGTACCGAGAATTCTAGCTTGTCGGATCTTTTCAAACGATGAGATATCTGTTGCGGTTGAATGATCGAATCTATCTAACTTGCTAACTTCTAATGCCACATCTTTCTTTAGCGAATGTTCATCTTGTAGTTTATGTCTCCTTGAAACTGAAAATGTCTCTTTGATATCCTCTGATTTCACATGCTGTGTATTTTCACCTTGAATTGAGCTAGCAGTTGAATTGATCTTCGTTTCAAAATCTTGCGTCTGGTCTTGTTTCTTGAATCGTTCGGAATTTCTTTTTACGGTTTGTTTCCAATAATTATCCCAAAAGGTCTTTGCTACACTCTCTAACTTCTCCGACAAGCGTGTTTCGTTGTCGTATCGGTTTTTATACCAGAATTCCTGCAATGACAATAAATGAGGAGCTCCAAATACACTGATCTCCTGATTCTCGATTTTGCCTGTCACAAGGACCCTTGCTATTGACTCAGGTAATCCAGACACATAATAGTTCATTTCATGCAACAAGGAAGATGTTCTCCACTGTCTGTTTTTCAACGCCATATTTGCCGCTTTCATGGCCCTGTTTAGCAACTGTACATCTACATCGGAATAGCTACCCTTTTCTTCTTGTCTCTTGAGAGATGTCAAACAAATATGAATTAGTGTTTCTACATCCTCTTGCTTGAAACCTGTCCAATGAAACGTGGCTCTTTGTAAATTGGTTATCAATTTTCTTAACTGTTGTCGATTTGCCGGATGAAACATGTAATCGATATCTGTACGTTCTGAAGTGACTGCATTGACGGCAAGTACAGCTGTAAATAGATTAACTGAAATAATATTATGATATGACGGCTTTAAAAACACAGCTGAATGATGTAATTGTGGCAACTTGAGATCTCGCTCTATGTCTCGTGGATTGTGTCTTATCATTATTTCATTTAGTAAGTTAGATAGAGTCAATTCCGAACCGTAAACATTCTGTAATAAAGGCTTAATGATCATCGAAGACCATTTTCTGGGAAATGTTGCAAACGGTTCAATCTTTAAAAAGTTTCCAATAATAGTTCCCAACTTTATTAAATCCTCTTTCTCATCGAACTTCGATTTGATCACATATCTATTCTGGTGTGCTTTTTCCTCCTCGTCCATGTACAAATGTGTAAGTCCAGAAGTTGGAGTTCCACTAACAACCCATTTCCTTTCTGCAAAAAGATATTTACTTAAAGAACTCATCCTAGATGTCTTGGAATTCACCAGATGACCTTCATCAATTATAACTCTCTTCCAATAAAGTTGCATTACTGGATTGTCTTCCATGTCTTCTTTCGTTAGACAAGAGCTGGAAAGAACAACTAAATCATACTTTACAAGCTCTGTTGGGTCTTGTGGCAAGCTCTTTGTATATGTTTTGGTCGAAGCTTCTATTGGAGTTTTAAAATAATTTGATATGAATAGTATTTGCAAGTACTCTTGTCCAATATGCTTTTTGATTTCCGTATTCCATTGAGCAAAAAGATTATCTGGGATGATGATGATAGTAGTATTGCAAAGATATAGTTTTCTAGTTTGAGGTATTTGGTTAGTTCTACTGCTTCGTCCCCTTCGTTTCAGAAGTCCTCCAGTGAATTTTTCGGTTGTAACCCTAAAGTATCCAGGTTGGGAAGTAAGAGAATCCAGAACTGATTCTGGTAAATCGGATGCAAAGTGTTTCCAAGGTAATGAATTTTGAACAACAGTTTGCTGGCAAATTGTACGTAGTGGCTTCACATATGAACAATGCATGGTCGCTTCTTCTTCAATTTTCATTCCTTCTATATTCGTTGGAACACTTCCACCCTCTAGAAGTAATTCATCAGTAATTTTAGAAAACTCGTACTTGCTTAAACATACTAATGCGAGACATATCAATGTTTTACCAGAACCCATATTTTCTGCAAGAATCCCGCCTCGGGGAAGTGATAACATCTCCGGTTTAGAACAAATTAGTTTGTTTGTTAAATCAAAATAGTAGTCTGAATTTCCCAATGGTGATTTGAGTTTGATTAAATTTGGAATAAGTGACATCTCGGGTTTCGTTTCTCTTTCTAGCATGCTTGCGACGGACCTGATTTGAAATGGATATAGTGTTGACTTAACGCCTGTTATTGTAACTAGGGTTCCTGCTTTGAGACTCTGCAGAAGTGCACTCAACTGTACCTCTGGATTAAGGCTATTTATATTACCCCTTTCCAGAATTTTATGACCCAGAAGATGCGGCGAGGGAATTGAGTTATATATGTTTCTGATTGTTTTTCCAAACGACGTTTCATTGCTTTTTGACTCACAAAAGGTAACATATGAGTTATTCTTCCACCTATTTACGATATAGTTAAATTCATCTATGTTGGGCTTCATCATTGCACTCTCCTTAGTATGATGAAAAAGTACAATTGGGTTCAGGAGAAACTCGTCGATGGGAACAATTGTATCCATATTCCAACCCAGTTTGGAAAAGTCGATATACCTTAAAATAATTTCAAAAAAGGTTCTATAGTTCTTATCGATGTTGAACTTTTTGGGTCTTTCTGATCTCCAATCATTTATATATCTTGCTCCATCAATGTCTTTGGGTATGGCATATAGTCTAACTTTACAAATCTTAATTTCCCTATCTTCTTTAAGTGAAAATATCTTAAATGTTGCTTTGAAAAATTGAAAATCAATTAAGAATTGTAAATATAATATAATCTTATTGACCTTCCCCTGACATATATGAACAAAAAAGTCAATGTCAAACCATTTCCAACCATCGGGACTATGAATTCCATATAGGTCTGTCATGCTCAACGGAAGATCATAAAAGTTTAAACATCCAACCGGTATCAATCGTCTCAAATCATTTGATATTTCTATGGCCTTTTGATAATTGCTTAATGAAAATGGCATTAGGGAGCAATTAGGGATCGGAATATCATTGATTTCCCCGGATCTTCCTTATCTCTTTGGCGTGGAAAATTAACGCGCTACCACTCCAACTATGAAACTTTCGAGCCATTTGGAAAGAAAGGGTAACCCATTCTTTTTAAATAAGAACGATATTAAAAAGGCCTGTTCTGCTATATTTATAGCCAGGGATTGCCCTTCGTTGGCTTGCTACGTGTCATGCAAAGTGTCATGCAAAGTTCCAACATCAAGGGATCTGGATATTGAAATCCGGGTAAGGGCGCACATCTTTTTTCTAACTCGCACGCCTTCCCCCCTCCCCCCAGAAACAGCCGACATCTTACCATTCTCTCATTTCACATTAGAATCATTGAATCATTAGCAACTTCCACTTTCATAGTAACTACAGCTCATCATGAAGACACATCTTCTTGTTGTTCCCAGTAAGGAGACTGAAGAATTAAACTGGATCAAACCATTGAATAACTATCTTCTTTCTCTCTATGGTAATACTAGCAATTATCAAACTGAATTATCCAACTTCAATAAATTACGTCAAGATATTCGTGGAGTGAATGCCGATAATACAGGCTTACGTTTATATTATACTTACTATAGTCAAGTTGAGTTATTGGATTTGAGAATTCCTTGGAGCAAGATTCGTAAAGTTGAATTTGAATGGTTTGAAGCATTTGGTACTGGTCCTAGTCATAAACAAAAGTCATTAGCATTTGAAAAAGCAAGTATTTTGTTTAATATTGCATCATTATTGAGTAAATTTGCCAAATCTAAATATGATGAATCTTCACAAGATGATAAAGCTGAACAAGGAACCAAAATGACAATTCAATTATTTCAAACTGTTTCACTTTGAGATTGATGAATACTGATTTGGAACAAAAAAAGAATTCTTTGGTTGCAAAATTATGTGCATCTGCAAGTACATATTATGAAGAATGTTATAATATGATTGGTCAAGATAAAAAGGAGCTGTTTGCTTATTATGATGGGGATGATGATAATGATAGTGGGTATGAAGAAATGGAAAGTTTATCCAAGCCAGAAGCGAATTATGTTGCTGCCAATTTAGATTTGAGTTGGGTAGGCACTATTTATTTCAAGTATATCTATTTTAAATCACTTGCGTATTATTTTAATGGATTACAATTGGAAGCCAATAAGAAATATGGAAGTTCAATTGCATATTTAACAAAGTCCAAAGATATAATAAAACAAGTTCATTCCATTACTTTGCGGGCAATTTCCAAAGGCCATGGTGATGTGTATGAATTACTTGATAATTATAAATATCAAAAGGATGCATTAGAAATCAAGTTAAATGATTTGAATAAAGATAATGATTTAATCTATCATGACATTGTCCCATCATTGGTCACATTGCCAGAAATTAAACCAATGGATAGTACCAAAATTATTCGAATCAATGAAAATGCCATGCTTAAAGAAATAAATGAACAAAATTACAATAATTTCTTAAATAATGTTGTTCCATTTAATATTCATGAGTTATCAAGTTTATACTCCGAAGAAAAATCTCAATTCTTAAGAAACGAATTAGATTTGGTAGAAGTTTCTAACGAGGAAACATCTTCAATTCTTGAATACTTGAAATTACCGAAATCATTGGTTGAAATCAAAGAATTGATCAATAAGGATACTCAACCATTTGAAATTCCCAATGAAATTCTTACCAAAGTTCGTGAAGTAAGTTCAAATTTCGATCAGGATGAAACTAATAAGCACCAAATTGATGGAATTCGTAAACAAATTTTTGAGAAGATTTCAGAAATTGAGAGACTTGGCCAAAGTCTGTTTTCAGGCAGGGAAGAGACCATTCAGTTGAAGAAAGCTTTATATGAAGCAACGAATTCAGACAATAAACTATTCTCGTTGATCGATAGACCCTTGTATGAAATCTTGAGCAAGGGACCCCAATCCAAATCTTTCAAACAATTATTTGCAATTGAAACCGAGCACCAACCAGAAGTAAGTCTTCTTGATATTGATGAAACAACAGATAATCAAGCTATCATGACCAAAATAAAGAGAATTGAAGACTTGTTACATGATATACATAGTGTTAAATCCAATAAAATGAAATTAGTAGAAGATTTAAAGAAAGAAATTCATAGTGATGATATATCAAATATTTTAATTCTTAATAGTAAATTAAAAAGTGAGAATGAAATCAAATCCGTAATCTTTCCAGAAGAATTAAAGAAGTTTGCACCATTTAATGAGCAATTAGATTGGTTGATTAAACAGGAAAAGAAGTTTGTCTCCGAATTACGGTCAGCATGGGAATCCTTGAATCTGAATAAAGAAATTAAAAAGATTATCAGCAAGCAAACTAGAATGGATTCTAAGATTATAGATGAAAATGGAAGGATTCAACAATTTTATGATAATTGGAGTAAATATCACGTTGGTTTATCTAAGGGGAAACAATTTTATCAAGGATTATTGGATCAATGTATTAGGGTCAAGAATGAGATTGAACAGGGTTTAAAGTTTGATGAACAATTCAAGAATATGAAAGTGAGCGAAGCTCCTCCTACATTTTCAAATCAATATCAACAGCAATACCAAGCTGCGCCTGCTCCAACTGCACAATATCAACAACCAATCGTGAACAGATCTTCGACCGGAGAATTTCCGAGTCAACAACAGCCACTGAATTTTTATAGGCCAGAAAATCAACCAAAGCCTCCTAGTTTTAGTGGACTCGACAACCAGAATTTTCCTCCTTCCATAAACAGACAACCGTCGCTCCCACGACAATATGAAAATGACTCTGGGAGTTTCACGAGAGGTGGGCTTAATGAGTATATGCAACAACAGCCACCCCAGCTACCACCACAGCCTATAATAAATAGAGCATCTACTGGTGGGAGCTTTAATTATGGACAAGGATATCAAAGCCCACAATCTACAGGATATGTCAGACCACCACAATTGCCTCCCAAACAAAGGATGCAAGGAGATTTGCAGCCATCAATTCCTATGATGCCCCAGCAGCAAATAATGCCTCCGCAACAGCAGCAGCCGCAACAACAACCTCCGTTGTTTAATCAAAAAACTCCAAATAGTAACAGGAGTGAAAGTAATTTGATATATGATCAACCATCTACATACAATCCAAATATGTATAATTTCTTTTCATCCTCGAATGCCAAGTAGGGGTTTTTATTGTTTCTTGATCTATCATTTTTTTTTATATAATTCAATTTAATTAAGAATTTTATGTGAATGATCTATTTTTAGTAAATATTGTAAATACAATTAAATTGATTGTTTCAATTCAATTTTGTAACTCATTGTTTAAGATTATAACAATGGATTCAAATGAGAGACATGTACATTGTACATAGGATCACAAAAATAGGGGGTGAGATACATATTGCATAGATGAAGTAAGGTCAAAATGATTCTCGAAGACGTATTAATGATGACGAGTGTCTTTTCGTATGGCATAGCTGTAGTTAGTTGCCAAGAGTAAAGATATCCTCGAGTCGAATGGACAAAAGAGACGAACTGTTCAGGACCGTTGTCCATTAATCGAATAAAAACACTGTAGCATTCTTCCGATTAGTCACCTTGTAAGGCTTGTACTTATAACTTGATTAGATAGGCTTAAAAATTCAACAAACTAGATTAATTATTTTTATTGGTTGCAATTTTAATTAGGGGAATGTCTTCTCGTGTGTGATGGGGTGAAATAATGCGACAATTTTTTTTTTTAATTTGATTCAGCCTCTTTTTACCCGCCCCTTAAGAAAGAGGCCCTTGCGAAATATTTATTTATAAGAAACAACTGATTGTTGTTGACATTCCGAGATAAGATTAGGCTTCTCTAGACTGGGGCGGGGAGAGTATTTGCAGTTGGAAGTGTGTGTATGAGGTTTTTGGTTTTGGAAAATAGGTATTTTCTCGTTAAGGTTATATTGCCTACAAAATAGTAATATTTTCTATAAATAGAAATTTAATTATTATTCGCGGAATCACCTTTTTTTCTTTGTTTATCAAATTATTTTTTATGTTTGTAATATGCAACTGATTATTTTTTTATCTGCTTTTGGTTTCACAGAAGACAGAAAGGAAAAAAAAATAATCACGAAAATTAAATAATAATTAATTAATTATTTTATAATTTAAAAAAAAAAAATTTTCGTCTGAAAAAGATCTCGATCACATTTTTCCATTTCCCATTTTTACCCACTTTAAAAAACTTTACATTAAATTTACCCACACTTTTTATATATACCAACTGATTTTCTCTTTCTTTTGTTTTTTTTTCTTCTTCTTCTTTTCCTTTTCCTTTGTTTCATTTCATTTCATATTTATCATTTGTATTTACATTCGCTACTTAATTCAATTTACAATACCCTTAACAACAACTACTACTACTACACCCTACGATCCCACACACACACAACTAACTATTTTTAAGATTTCATAGAGTTGCCCTTCGCTATTAATACATACACACATAATGAAATATAATAGTTGGTATTTCATATCTATTCTTGCTTTCATATTCACACAAGTCTTAGCAGATGATGTCATCACTTGTAACAGTACTCAACCTTGTCCTTTAGACAATCCATGTTGTTCCCAATTCGGTATATGTGGTACTGGTGCCTACTGTTTAGGTGGTTGTGATATTAGATATTCTTATAATATTTCGGCTTGTATGCCAATGCCTAAAATGGAGTCATTTACTCATGCTTTTGATTCTAAAGCTGTAGTGGAAGAAATCGAACAACAATACGAATACTTGGGTAATTATTCTGAAGCTGATTGGGTTTATAGTGGTTGGATCGATTATCATGATAATGCTCTTTTGGTTCAAATGCCTGCAAATAGTACTGGTACAGTCTTATCATCAACTAAATACGCCTGGTATGGTAGAATCGGTGCTACTTTAAAAACCTCCCATGATGTAGGTGTCGTTACTGCTTTTATTACTTTCTCTGATGTTCAAGATGAAATTGATTATGAATTCGTTGGATATGATACTAAAACACCTCAAACTAATTTCTATGCTCAAGGTATTTTGAATTATACTAATGCCAGAAATTCTACTGTTAATGATACTTTCCTTTACTATCATCTTTATGAAATGGATTGGACTGAAGAAAAGATTGATTGGATTATTGATGGGAATGTTGTTCGTACCCTTAATAGAGCTGACACTTGGAATGAAACTACTAAGCGTTATGACTACCCTCAAACTCCTTCTCGTCTTCAAATTTCATTATGGCCAGGTGGTGATCCATCGAATGGTTTAGGTACTATTGAATGGGCTGGTGGTGAAATTAGTTGGGATACTCCCGATATTAAGAATTACGGATATTATTTCGCTTATATTAAGGAATTCCATTTGGAAGCTTATGATCCTCCAAGTGATGCTCAATTTGATGGCAATTCTACAAATCCTAGCGATTATCATGCGTATATTTATAAAAGTATCAGTGGAAATGAACAAGATGTTGCATTTACTAACAAAAAAACTTGGTTAGGTAGTTCTGATGCTGTTGGTTTCAACCCACAAAATGAGAATGATCCATCGCCCTCCGCAAAATCATCCTCCGAAGTCAAAACCTCAACTATTATTAAAACTTCTGGTTCTTCTACAATTACAGCAGTTACTACCATAGCTGAAGCTCCAACTGCTAATGCTCCAGCTCAAAACCAAGCTCAAGCTGCCCAACAAACTCAAGGAATCGGATACGAACCATCTATGGGTTTCCGTCAAAACGCTGCAAATACTGCTTCTAGTGCTGGTGAAGCAGCTGGAGTACAAGGTGTTTTGAGTGGAGTTGTTGGTGCCATTGGATTGGGCGTTATTTCTTTCTTGATTTAGGTATTTAACACGGGCATCTGTCTGGAAAGACTGATAGTGGCCCTTATGTCTTTTAAAGAGTTAATTTATTTTCATCAAAATCTTAATGTTTCATTGTTCGTTTGATTTTTTTTTTTCATTTCTGTTTTGCTTATATAGAACGAATTGAAATACGACATTAAATTAAGTACTTATGTGTAAAACCCATCTCATTCGCATTCATTGTGAGATCCTATGTAGGAAGTCAGCATCTTACGGTCATAGATCTTTGGAAGAATTCTTAAAAGCCAATCTATGCGATGACATAGATTGAAAGCTTATGAACCTTACTTATGAACTCTGGTATACTCTAAATATGTTGTATTGTATTGACACTACATTCTGCAGAGGACAATGCTTTTATCTCTAGTAAGGTCTGAAAAGAATTACAATATATTACTTTCAATTAAGCTTATATGAGGCTTTTTATTAATTTTTTGCAGGAATTTTCCCAGAAAGTTATCGTTCAGATTCTCGTTTTTGTCATTTAATATAAAAAGGCTATAATTAGTGGAGTTCTTGAACTGACAGGTACCATATACCCTTCTAATCTAGCAAGTTATGCAAATTATCGAGAAAGCTACCTATCATATATTCAACACTGTCAAGTTTTGTAAAAGCACTCATTAACACCGGGTCAGGAGAAGATACTTCGATTTTTTTGTTAACCATTACCACCATATTATTATAAGTCATACATTTCGTTATATAATCAACTGGCTCATGTTTTGGCCTCAATTGCAAATGGCTCATGAAATTACCAATCATTGAATGCGGTTGGGATGATACCGAATTTGCCAACACCAATTCCTGTAAACGCTTTTCGACATCAGATACATGCAAAGGGGGAGTTTGCGGCTGTTTACCATCTCTAGATGTAGAGGCGTGCATTGACGCTTGAGAGCTTGTAGGTAATTTCATCTCATCTCGTAATTTATCGATGTATGATTTCCCTGTCGACAGGTCGATTTCACACCAAGGCTTTTCTGTAACACGATGGAGACTCTTAAGATCGATACATACCTCAGCTTGACTAATATAAAAGTCAATTGCAATTGACGGAGGTAAAACAGGTTCAAAATTATTCGAATCTGTAATGTTTAAAGGAAATACTAGCATTGGATCTATTGGTAATTGTAAACTCGTTTTCGCAGTTTGAATTTTATTTAATAATTCATTGAAAGAAGATATTAAATTTTTGTGAATATCAGAACCACATTCCTTCATTGACGATAATTCATTAAGAATACTAATAGCATCATCAATTTCCTCTTTGGTAGTCACTAGTTGTTGTAGCAATAATGGTCCAACCAAATGTAACTTATTGATATGTTTATTCACATGTGGCTCTCTAATTGAAACCTCCAATTCGGTGATACATGCACCGTCTCTTACCATAATTCCCTTTAATGCATCCAGTTTTCCGGTCGACACCGGAAGCTTTATTGATGGTCCTCGCTCGATTCTGTTCGCTGGATCTGGAACCTGGGGAGAATTATAGAATATTAAATTCGATGAGATTTGAAGTGCCTCGATAATTTGGGGAAATTCCGGAAGTATTACATTTGAAATTAACCAACATAGTTCGTTACTATTTTGATATTCTTGAATTTCTGTTATTAGATCACTAGTCATGTTGGCTTTTTGAATGAATGAATGCTTTTGGCAAGGATCCTTAAATATTAAATAATTTGATTAAATTTGGAAATACTAACACGTGATATCTAACCTGTAAAATTTCCAAACTGTAAATTCTCCTCACTCTTTTTTTTTTTTCAAATTACGTTTCAACTTTTTCTGTTGTCCAATTTCAATATACACAACTAAATAGTTTTTCACTTTCTCTTTCTTTCAATTCAAGAGACATCAATCCAATTAGACATCCAAAATGAAGATGTTAACAAAGTTTGAGTCTAAGTCTTCTAGGGCTAAAGGCGTAGCCTTTCACCCCAAAAGACCATGGGCATTGGTTTCCTTACATTCTTCCACTATTCAATTATGGGACTATAGAATGGGTACTTTAATTGATCGTTTTGAAGATCATGTTGGGCCTGTCAGAAGTGTCAATTTTCATCCAACTCAACCATTATTTGTATCTGGAGGTGACGATTACACAATTAAGGTTTGGTCGTTGAATGAAAGAAAATGTATGTTTACTTTGAATGGACATTTAGATTATATTCGTGGCGTCAGTTTCCATCATGACTTGCCATGGATTATTAGTTGTTCCGATGATCAGACCATTAGAATTTGGAATTGGCAAAATCGTCAAGAGATTGCATGTTTAACTGGTCATAATCATTATGTTATGAGTGCTCAATTCCATCCTTCTCAAGATTTAATTGTGAGTGCCTCTTTGGATCAGACCGTAAGAGTGTGGGATATTTCTGGCTTAAGAAAGAAACATAGTGCCCCAACTTCATCAATGAGATCATTTGAAGATCAATTGCAAAGACAACAATTGCCCCAACAAGATATTTTTGGAAATGTCAATGCCATAGTAAAGTATGTCTTAGAGGGCCACGACAAAGGAGTAAACTTTGCGTCATTCCATCCAACCATGCCTTTAATTGTATCTGCTGGTGATGATAGGGTAATTAAGTTATGGAGAATGAGTGATACAAAAGCCTGGGAAGTCGATACCTGTAGAGGTCACACTGGTAATGTTTTAAGTGCAATTTTCCATCCAAATCAAGAGTTGATTTTATCGGTAAGTGACGACAAGACTATCAGAGTCTGGGATTTAAATAAAAGAGTTCCAATAAAACAATTTAGAAGAGAGCACGACAGGTTCTGGTTAGTTGCTTCCCATCCTACCATCAATTTATTCGCTGCTTGTCATGATTCTGGTGTCATGGTTTTCAAACTTGAAAGAGAAAGACCTGCACATGCTATTTTCCAAAATAAATTACTCTTTGTTAATGCAGAAAAACAAATTCAATCCTTTGACTTTCAAACAGAAGAAACTGCACTTCCAATGTTGTCCTTGAAAAAGATCGGCAAACCATGGTCATTCATGAGAATGCTTTCTTATAACCAGAGTGATAACTCCATATTACTTGTACATGGAGAAGGTGACAATTCCAATTATTCCTTGATTACTTTGCCCAAAAGCGCTGCAGGTGCAATTGAACCTACTGATGTTAGACAAGGTGAAGGTAACTTTGCGTGCTTTATCTCCAGAAATAGATTTGTCACTTTTGTCAAGTCTACCAAAACTTTACATGTTAAGGATATGAGTAACAATATTACCAGAGCCATTCAATTGGATAGCTCAGTTAATGATGTTTTGTACGGAGGAGCCGGTAGAGTCTTGTTAGTTAAACCTCACTCTGTTATAAGTTATGATGTTCAACAACGTAAAGAATTGTCAGAAATTAGTGTTAACAATGTTAAATATGTCGCATGGTCAAACAACGGTCAACATTTGGCATTACTCTCAAAGCATACAATTACTATTGCTAATAGAGATTTGGAATTAATCACATCTATGCATGAAACGATTAGAATCAAGAGTGCTGCTTGGGATGATTCCGGTGTATTGTTATATTCCACTTTGAACCATATTAAGTACACTTTATTGAATGGTGATAACGGTATCATTAAAACGTTAGAGAACACTTTGTATATTGCTAGAGTAGTTGGCAATAAAGCCTACTGCCTAACCCGTGGCGGCCAAGTTGAAACAGTAATAATTGACCCTACCGAGTATAGGTTCAAGAGGTCATTAGTTAATAGGAATTTCCCAGAAGTGTTAAGAATTATTAAGAATTCGACCTTGGTTGGTAAGAACATCATTGCTTATTTGCAGAAGAAAGGATTCCCAGAAGTTGCTTTGCATTTTGTTCAAGATCCAGAAACCAGATTTGACTTGGCTTTAGAATGCTCTAATTTACAAGTTGCTTTTGAACAAGCAAAATTGTTGAACACGGCTCAAGTTTGGCAAAGATTAGGTGAAGAGGCTTTATTGCATGGAAACATGCAAATTGTGGAAACGGTCTACCAAGAATTACATAGTTTTGATAAGTTATCGTTCTTGTATTTGTTTAAAGGTGACTCCGACAGGTTGGGAAAGATGACCACTGTTGCTGAAGCACGTGGTGACATCAGCGCCTTAGTTCAGAATACTTTGTACAGCAATGATATCAAAAAGAGATGCGAAGTCTATATTCAAAATGGAATGTTACCGTTGGCCTATACTTTAGCCAAGTCTAATGGACTAGATGAATTAGCCGGTTTGATTTTGGAGAATGCCGGTCTCACTGAAAAAGACGTTGATTTGCCAGAATTGGGGCAATCTGTTGCTTTGCCACAACCTATCTCCGAACCAATTGGCAATTGGCCATTAAAGGAAAGCTCCTTGTCATTTTTTGAGACTGCTTTGATTACTGGACAAGTTGAAAACTTGAGTATTGAAGAAGCACAACCAAGTATTGACGAAGGTGTCAACCTAAACACACATAATTTAGAATTTACCGAAGAAGAAATCGCTGACGAAGAAGACGTAGAAGGTGGTTGGGATTTGGATGATGAATTGGATATTCCTGAAGAAGATTTGCAACACGAGGATGAACCCGTCGTTTCTGGTGCTGAAGGTGAAATTGGATATTGGTTAAGAAATGCCAAAACTCCAGCAACTTATGTAGCTGCTGGTGCCTTCGAGCAAGCAGCGTCCTTATTGAACAAACAGTTGGGTGTCATTAATTTTGAACCTTTGCGCCCTAGATTTATTCAAGTTTACAGTTCTTCCAAATTGTACTTACCTGGTGTTGATGGTTTGCCGGCAATGAAGGATTTTATCAGAGAGGATAATGACGAAAACGATCCTAAGAGTTTCAGACCTATTGTTCCTGGGTATGAACTCTTGGAAGATCAGTTGCAACTTGGTTTTAGGCAATTCAAAGCAAACAACTTGGAAGAAGCAATCCAAACGTTCAGAGATGTAATTTACACAATTTCAGTGCTTAATGTCGAAGAAGAAGAGGACGAGACCAAGTGTAAAGAAATCTTAGTTTTGTGTCGTGAATATATCTTGGGACTTTCCATAGAATTAGCGCGTCGTGCTCTTGGAACAAGCGACATTAAGCGTAACTTAGAACTTGCTGCCTACTTTACGAAAGCTAAATTGCAACCAGTTCATAGGTTAACTGCATTGCAAGTTGCGATGACCCAAGCTTTTAAGAATAAGAACTATGCCAGTGCATCATACTTTGCTAGCGAGTTATTAAAAATTTCGTCATCTGGACCAAGAGCTGATCAAGCTACTAAATTAAAGGCAAGAGCTGACGCTATTGCTAACGACGCGATTGAGATCGATTTTGACCCATATGCTGAATTTGACATTTGCTGCGGTTCATTTACTCCAATTTACAAAGGTGAATCATCTGTTAGAGAGGCTTTGGTTGATGCCAAATACAAACCCGAATTCAAGGGCAAATTGTGTAGGATTACTCAGGTTACGGGTGTTGGCATTCCTGCTTCCGGATTGCGTATAAGAAATTGATTTTGATATAGGTGTTTATTGTATGTTTGTTCTTCTTGTTCTTTAGTTATTTTGTCTTTTATAATAAAATATATACACGTTTGATATGCATGGAGGAAAGGCACACCCTCAAATGGTGGTTCATTCATTAGATAGCTCCTGCGGTTGAGAATCTTGCCAAATGAACCCTAGAATGACCTATAAGAAGATGGAACCGCGACACCGATAACAAATACTACTTATATTTGGCAAATAAAGACGATTCCGAATATTAATTAATTGCTTGAGGTATTTAAATTGCCAGCAAGAGAAGAGACGTCCTTGGTAGAACATTTCTTTTCTTTGGAATCTTCTTCCGATCTTTTTTGGTCACTTGAGCATAAATTTGAGAAACGAAAAGAAATTTTTTTCTGATTTCTAGAATTTACTTTCAGAAACGATTTAACTATTAGAAACAAACACCTCTTCAACGAATAACTATGACAACATCTGCCATTTCAAAGCAACAAGCAGTGGAGCTCAAAGATAAGGGTAATGCATTGTTGAAAGATCATAAGTTCGAAGAAGCAATAGAAGCCTATAGCCGGGCCATTGAAATTGATCCGCATAATGCAATATTCTATTCTAATCGTGCTCAAGTTCATATCAAGTTGGAAAATTATGGTTTTGCGATTCAAGATTGTGACAAGGCTTTGGAAATAAACCCTTCATTCATGAAGGCATACTATCGTAAGGGTGTTTCTCAAATGGCTATCTTAAAGCATAAAGAAGCCCAGGCTAATTTTGCTCGGATTTTGAAAAGCTTGCCAAATGATAAATTAACCTTGGAGAATTACAAGCAATGTACCAATTATTTAAAGAGACAAGCATTTGAGAGAGCTATTGCCGGTGTTGATAGAGCCTCCGTCATAGATAGTGTAGATTACAACTCTATTCAAATTGAAAAATCTTGGAAAGGTCCAGAATTAGATATTGAGGTGAAGAAATCAAAAACTGAAACTGTTGTGAATATACAAGGTTTGAACATTGACTATTTGAAATATATGATTAAATTATTCAAAGATGGTGGTGTTTTGCCAAAGAAGCATGTATTTGCCATAATTGCAAAGGTTAATGAAATATTTAAGAAGGAGAAAACAATGACTGAAATTGTTTTACCCCATTCAAAGATGGAATTAATTCCAGGTGATGATGAAATTATAGTAGAAGATGGAAAGACGATAACTGTTGTAGGGGATACCCATGGTCAATTCTATGATGTGTTGAATATATTTGCAAAGAATGGTCATGTCTCTCAAGATCATGTTTATTTATTCAATGGTGATTTCGTAGATAGAGGATCTTGGTCCTGTGAAGTTGCATTATATTTATATGTTTTGAAAGCCATTTTTCCAAATTCGTTATTTATTAATCGTGGGAATCATGAAACAAGCGACATGAATAAAACTTACGGTTTTACTGATGAATGTGAATTTAAGTACTCAAAGAAGGTTTTCGAGGCATTTAGTGAATCCTTTGGCTCATTACCTTTAGCATGTTTGATCAATCGTTCATATTTGTGTATGCACGGTGGGTTGTTTTCGAATGACAAGGTTACATTAAATGATATCAAATCCATCAATAGATTCCCAGCCTCGGGATCAACTCAACCTCCAAGGGAAGGGTTAGCTATGGAATTATTATGGACTGATCCACAAGCTGCAAATGGACGTGCCCCATCTAAGAGAGGTATTGGGATGCAATTTGGTCCAGATATAACCGAGCGTTTTTGTTTAAGTAACCAATTGAGAAAGATCTTAAGATCTCATGAAGTACGCATGGGAGGAGTGGAAGAAGAGCATAATGGCCGATTAGTCACAGTATTTAGTGCACCTAACTACTGTGACTCGACAGGAAATTTGGGAGGTGTTGTACATATTACAGAGAATGTGAATTACGACAAAACTAAAGACAGTGGAGAAGGATACAGGGATCCAAAAGATAGTAATTGTCCCTGGAGTTTGGAGACTGTAACTTTTGAAGCTGTACCTCATCCTGATTTGAAACCAATGGCATACTCAAAAGGTGGTTTTGGATTTTAGTTACTGACGCCATCGCTTTTAGAGACTTTGTAGATTTGTAAAATAAATGTATAGCAATAATTTGTTAGTTTGAAGAGATTCTTCTCCTTGTTCGGGTTTTGATTTTTTTATCCTGCATATAAGACGATGATTCTGTTTTTGCCAATTGAATGGCAAATGAACAAAAAAAATGGCCATCAAAAGATTTCATTGGGTCCCAAGTTCTTCATTTCAGTAAAAACGACAACTATCATTTATTAAGAGATGTTGGTGAACTCGCTACGTCATTTGACCAGATCTTCACTCAGGATAAGGTCAGTTGGCTTGTTACCACAACTGAAGTGTCAGTTTTCAACTTTCAGTCGCTCAAACTTTCGTCAATCACTCCTCCTATATTCGAAAGGCTCTAAAAATAAGGAACCGGAAAATGATGGAAAAGACAAAGAGAAAAAGCGAGATGAAGATGAGGAGGAGGATCCCGATTTAAAGAAGTTTAGAGAAAAGTTTCAAAAAGAGCATCCCGATGTTGATCCATCTAACATAAAAATGAAAATTGTTAAAATTGATCAATTTAAGATTGGTAGATTTCTTTTAACAACTGGTCTATTAGCGGTTGCGCTTATGATGTTATCTTCTGACCAACCAGCATATGATCGATTATCGTTCCAGGACTTCGTAACCAATTATTTAGAAAGAGGATTAGTTACGAAAATTTCAGTCGTTAATAAATTTGGTGTTGAAGCCGAGTTAGTGCCAGGCGCGGTCAGCTCACAGACAGCTCATGGCCCTCATGGCAATCCAATAGTCCATTTCACCATTGGATCTATAGAATATTTTGAGGATGAAATGAATAAGATCCAAGACCGTTTGAATATTCCTTTAAATGAAAGATTACCTATACTGTACGAAGAGAGAGGTTCGTGGATGTCGTACATTATGCCAATCCTTCCTACTGTTTTATTGATTGGAGGGTTGTGGTACATAACTATGAAGAGGGGCCCTGCCGGCATGGGAGGTCCAGGGGGACCAGGTGGTGGTCTTTTCAAAATAGGAAAATCCAAAGCAAGATTATTCAATCAAGAAAATGAAGTTAAAATCAAATTCAAGGACGTTGCAGGCTGTGAGGAATCAAAAGAAGAAATTATGGAGTTTGTTAAGTTCCTTCAAGATCCCCAAAAATATGAAAAATTAGGTGCAAAAATCCCTAGAGGTGCTATTTTATCAGGTCCCCCAGGTACTGGTAAAACTCTTTTGGCCAAAGCAACAGCTGGTGAAGCTGGCGTTCCTTTTTTGAGTGTCTCTGGTTCTGAATTTGTAGAAATGTTTGTCGGGGTTGGTGCGTCCCGTGTGCGTGATTTGTTCAAAACTGCTCGTGAAATGGCACCGTCAATCATATTCGTGGATGAAATTGATGCCATTGGTAAAGAAAGAGGTAATGGAAGAATGGGAGGAAATGATGAGCGTGAAAATACGTTAAATCAATTGTTAGTTGAGATGGATGGTTTTGATTCGAGTGATCATGTCGTTGTATTGGCAGGTACTAACCGTCCTGATATCCTTGATAAAGCTTTGCTTAGACCTGGAAGATTTGATAGGCATATCTCAATAGATGTTCCAGATGTTGAGGGACGTAAAGCTATCTTCAAGGTACATTTGGCAAGATTAAAGTTAAAATCTATTGAACATATTCGTAGCAATAATAAAGACGTTGACTATACGAAATATCAAGAATTGAAAGATGCAGAGATCGAAAACTTGGCTGGTCGTTTAGCAGCTTTAACTCCTGGATTCGCGGGTGCTGACATTGCAAACTGTTGCAACGAGGGTGCTTTAATTGCAGCAAGAGAAGATGCCGAGTCTGTAGACATTCATCATTTTGAACAAGCAATTGAAAGAGTCGTCGCCGGATTAGAACGAAAATCCCGTGTCCTTTCTCCACAGGAGAAGAAAACAGTTTCCTACCACGAGGCAGGGCACGCTATCTGTGGATGGTTCTTGAAGTATGCAGACCCGCTAGTTAAAGTCTCAATTATTCCTCGTGGCCAAGGCGCTTTGGGTTATGCTCAGTATTTGCCTGATGACCAGTATCTAATTTCGCAAGAGCAATTCAGGCATAGGATGATTATGGCTTTAGGTGGAAGAGTCAGCGAAGAATTGCATTTCGATACAGTCACAAGTGGAGCCCTGGATGATTTTAAGAAAGTTACACAGATGGCCCAACAAATGATTTTGAAACTAGGAATGTCACCAAAGTTGGGTCAAATCTGTTATGATACTGGCGATGCTTCAGGAGGATTCAAAGTGCATAAAAATTATTCTGAGACAACAGCTACAATGATTGACAATGAAGTTAAGAGATTAATTGATGAAGCATATAAGGAGTGTCATAAGTTGTTGACCGAAAAGCTTCCACTTGTTGACAAGGTGGCAAAAGAATTATTTGCAAAGGAAGTCCTTACTCGCGAGGATATGATTAAGCTTTGTGGCCCAAGGCCATTTGAAGAAAGAAACGATGCATTTGATAAGTACCTCAAAGGTAGAGATGCCTTTAAAGGCAAACCTAGTACTCCGGGCGGTGCACCTTCATCGTAGTTAAGTCTAACGACATGTATATAGTGAATCTTATATTTCGAGTTTATCTATGTGAAGCGTATTTATGTAGCCTATTCTCATGGCCAACGGACGCTATCTCCGATCTATGAAAGTCCTTGATGCTATATTTCGAAGGAAGCTTCCCTAACAGCATTTCTGGGAGTTCATGATTATATCTGGAAGATTAGAGTCTTAAGATCTTCAAGTCTCAGCTACAGTGCAAGCTATAAAGTGTACCACCCGGCATTCAATGCCAATACTGTATTCCACTTTATAAATTATTGTAGTTTGTTCAATGGGTTTGTAGATGTCTATTTTAGCTTACTATTTACAATCGTCCAACACTATATACAAATATTCATAATCCCTACAGTTCCTCATTATCAACAGTACTAGTCCGTATATTATTGTTGTTGACTTCCCAACACTTTCGAAACGCTTCCATTTCTTGCGTGCATTGTCTCCAATCACCTGTATCAGCATGGCATAGTTGTAGCTCCAAGTTTTCTTTGTGACAACCTGTATTTATGATTCGTTGATCCCATTCATCTGGCTCATCATCATCATCATCAACAGCATCGGCTTGATTATTTGTTGTTGTATGATCTGGTTTCATTGTATCGTAGCCTTTCTTTCAACTAAAATTGTAGTGGTATTTTGGATGGATGTATTTTAATTTTCTGAGCCAATTCCAACGCGCCCCTTGAGATCTAGATTGTCAACTGATGCCCCCTACTACAAAAGGACAGAAGACGACTACAGATTGATAATTTCATCACTTTTAACTGATCTTCGCGAACATAAAGTTGACAGTCCGCAACAATTGGTCTATACCTATGTATAGAAATCTCGCAAATTCTTCAAATGACGAAGGAAATGGATTCGTTATTTGATAGTTATCGCTAACAGTGCATAGATAGAAAACGATAACGAGAACCCTATTGCCATTGAGTCAGTAACCCCTTCATGGATGAAGCGATTAGAAATGAATCATGTTAATGATCTATGCAATCTATGTGTATCGCGAGCTCTCCACGAATGCCGGGTAACACTCCAGTTCATTTGGTCGACGAGGGATCGTCGACATACAGACTTTAGTAATCTTCTAACATCTTGGAGGGGAGGCTTTTTAATATGTAATATTACCTTTTAGTAGGTCCTGGGTTGCATTTCTCACAGATCAGAATAGAAGCCAAAATGTCAATCAAGCTACGATTTAATTTAAAACAGCTTTTCGTCGATGGAACTTTGAAATATAGGTTAACAGCAACCAGTTTGACATCGAGCGTACATACTGATCAGTTTACACCTCAATAGTGGATAAGTAGGCTTTTTCAGAACTTCTATACTACCTATTATTGAATTTCAAGTCGGACAATCATTTTTAACAGCCAAGCTCTAATATTAGAAGAGCTACTCAGATCGTATCGGGTGTTGAAAATGCCATTAAACAATTCCCCTGTCTTGAAAGATGTTTTAAGAACTCGGAAGAAATGGTTGCAAATCAATTCCTCATTCAAACCGCCCATGATTATCTTTTAAACATATAAAGAAAGCATTTCACATATGATTTACTGGAGTCCTTGGATTATGCTTAAAGTAGCAACGTCATCAGCTTTCTACGCAAAACAGTAGTTCGAAGTTGATTGCATTATGGAAATGTTCCATTTTTTGCTTAGTGTGGAATGCAACGTGGCTAAAGACAGCACCGTGTCTGGCGATATAAGCATTTCTAATAGTACAAAGATTGCAAGATTTACCAATTGGGTTAACAATGAACTGTCGAAAAGGTGAAGCATACTAATTTATACAATTAGTCCATTAAATTGGTCTATGTGCAGAACATCCAACAATACAAGAAACAGAAGCTTAAGCTCAAGAAATCATATTTGGTTTATTACTTCGTCAGTAATATCAGTTTTGGACGAATACGATCTTGGTATCTTTAGGTTTCCTGCAATTATACAGTTCATTCGAAAGGAAATGGAATTCTCGATCGTGTCAATGGCTCCGATATTAGAGTTGGGCCCTTTAAATTACTCCTATTGAATCCTGTTGAATGATAATTTCTATAGAAGGTCTTTCTGGGATTGGCCACGATACATTTTCCTGTGAATTGTTACATTACTTAGTTTTACCACCGGAAATTAGTACGGTGTTGGATCAATATGCGAAACAAATTGATTATCAATTGGACCGTTATGCAATAGCTTTTCAACAGTGGAATGGAAAGAAGACTTATTTGATGGCTTTGGTGGGTATTCAACATTCAATCTCCATGATCGATCAGTATCATAGGAATAATTCCCAGTTATGAAGGTAATACAGTCACTGACGTACCAAATGAGGATCAACTAAGCAGTCCGACACCTTCCAATGGATAGGTGACATAGTGGAAGAAATATCAATTACCCACAAGCTTTGGAGAATCAGCTGATCCCTGAAGATTATTATAGCTTGCTTTGGTATCATTATCATCTTACGTACAATCATTTGCCACCTGCTAGTATGAAAGTTGATGAAAGGTAATGCGAGGAAATATAAGTTGAAGATCTCAATCGATTCCTAGTGAACCAGATTATTTTAAGAATGCCGACTTTGTTTAGTGGTTAATACTCAGCCAAATTCCACATTTCCTCACTTCTCAACATCCTCTAGCTTGTCCTCAGGACAGCGCTAGTGCTGATACACTTTGCAATTATCTGGAAGAAGGATGTATATAGCAACTTTAATTGATCATAAAGCTGGTCGGAAGGGGGGGGGGGCTACGGTAGCGAATCTATTTGCTAACTTTTAGTCAAAAAATTATGGAACCACACACGTTCCCAGGTGAAAGGGTAGCTCTTTAAGAGCTCATATACATGAATTACCACATTTTTTTTGATAATCTTTCGATAACTAATGCTAAAATTTGAGCGCATTTGTAACAATGAATAGGTCGGCTGCATCCCATAATCTTATCATTCTTAGAAATATAAGGAAGCTAGTAGCTACCTCTCACGGAAATCCTTGGACGTTTGACCTTGTTTCCATTTATTTTACCATATGCTATCCATGAAAGGAATAGTCCTCAGGGTATTTTAACGAACCATCACCATACAGGATATTTGGTGATTTGCGATATCAGATCAATCTTCATGCTTTAGGTATCGATGTAGGAGTACACATCTTTTCTTAAATCAAATATATTAAACCTATATAAAAGCAAAAAAATCAGATTTAGAATGACCATGGTACATTCGCCATAAAGGTCAAATCAAATAAACTTGTGCCTATAGTACAACCTTCATTTTTCGTTGGATATACCTGTGAACCTAATGTTATTTAATTATGGTTAAGTGTGGAGGGCGGGACTTCCGTTGTTCAGCCGTCGGATACAATGGATAAGATTACTGAATATTTTGAAAGGCTTGCACTTTCTGAAACTCAAGATAATATCGAAAATTTAGCTTCAATGGGTAAGCATCGTAAAGTTTTGTTCATAAATATCAGATTCCAAATGTGATTCACCTGCGAGAACGAACCTTTTCGCATGCCGAGGTTGAACCATCCGCTTTTCGTATTGAAAGTTCTGATGAATGATCTAAGGGATTAGCTGTGAAGTAATCTAAAGTTCTCGCCCAATTTTATTTGAAGTATCCAAATGTTAAAAAGATTAGATTGGAGTCTATTCCGGGCCCAACCTCAGGTGGGGAATCAGAGCTGCCTGATCCTATTTCGGAGAGAATTGCCTATGGCACCTTCTTAGCTTGCTGACATTCCTTCTGGATATCCATCGTCTACGCAAATTGATTCTGCTGCATGATCGATCTCTATGAAGAATGATGTTGCTACGACAGCTTCACTGATCACATCCCTGTTGCTGTTGTCGCCCACAAAAAGTACAGAACTACATTCCATCTCATGAGCCTTGTACTTACTACTTCCAATCTTCCACGGGATACTACAGGAAGAGCTTGTAGATTGCACTTATTCTTGACCTTCTTGAAGGTGTCATTGAAGATTTGTGAGTGTCTCCCTATACTCGGTCAAGGGGACCTTGTGTATTTAGATATTTTTTTAGCGTTTATTCTTTTATAGGTAGTAAATATACATTGTATTCTATGAAAAAAGTTGAAGACGGTACGACTCACGCCTATGATGACAATGGGATTTCCACGAGCGAACCACATAGAGATCTGTTGTCGGAGCCCGTTTGTTGGCACTTCGACCTGAACAACTGGGACTGCGCCAGAATCACCCTGTTCATCACTGCCAAGAGTGGGAAGCTATCCCAACAGAACAGGCAAGAAAAACACGAGCTCCAACAATGGACAACTCTCTTGTCCCGCAGGTCTTTGGAAGTGGAACTACCCATCAGGACTGCAATAGGGAAGTCATT